ACCAGGGGACACCTCAGCCCCTCCCAGCCCTGTCCCCTGCCCAGGGGTGACAGATGTGACCCCCCTGGGGTGGAAGGTGACAGGACCAGGGCTGGGCTCTRCTCTCCACCCCAGCWGGGACAGCTTCACTCAGTGTGGCCCTAAAGATCCTCAGGGGAGTTCTTTGGGGTCTCAGGCTGAATTTGGGGCTCAGAGAGGTGCCACCCTCTGCCAGGGTTAAATGACAATCACAGCCCAGCAGGGAGGGGCACAGCTGCTACTGGGAACCAGTGAAACAGTGGGACCCAATCCTCGAAAATTGCAACGGGGGAGAAAGGAAAAATCTGCAGGTTCATAAACTTTTCTTTTTGTTTTTACATCACGTGTCATTGAGTGAAAGCTCTTACACGGAAAATGGCAATACAACCATGGAAAAAAAGCAATACAGAAAAAGAAGTGGGAAGAGAGAACTCTATTTTCAGTAAAACTGGGATAACACCAATAAAGTGGAGTTATTGTGGATTTATCCCAGTTTGAGCATTTACGCTTCTCATAAGATAAAAGGAAAATATATTCAACATTAATGTATTTGATGCAAAATAGTTCTGAGTTGATCAGTTCCTTTTAAATAAAGTATCTCAAATTTTAATTTCAAAATGATGACATAATTGAAATTTAAGGAAATTTAATTTAAAATTGTTTCGAACACCCCCCAATTTTCCCATTCACCTAAATATTTTCCAGTGGCGCTGTTAAATAAAATATTTTATTCATGGAATATATAATATTCMACTTTGCTGTTAAATGAACAGCATTTACCCGTTGATGAAAGACTCTCTGCTCTTGAGAGAACAAAGCAATGGTGGCCAAGTGATCAAAAGGCACAAAGTGTGTGAGTTTGTCTGCAGGAACCCGGAATTGTCTGGAAAATAGGAACTGTTCTGTCAGATTAACCAGAATTATCCTTCAGTAGGTGCCTGGGGAAGCAATAGCTGTAATTTCACACCAAACCAACACCATYCTTACCTTTGCTGAGGGTTTTTGAGAGGACGGTGTGTGGTGTGAACACATCCCACGGGAGGCACC